TGGGAGTAGGTGGTGTTGAACAGACAGTGCTGTTCCCATACCACGTGGGATCCCACTACACAATGAGAATTTCTTGTTGCTCCCCTGGAGCTGTTTTGGCAATACTTTACTGCCTAAGCAGTACTAGGTGGCTGGAAAGTCCAGAAGAAGGCTTCTTCCCAAAAATACATGCAAAGGTTTTCCTTCTGCAGCAGTATTAGCTTCATAACACCCTCCAAAAAGGTGTATTCTGAAAAGAAGGCATCTGAGAACAGATGCATAATCAAATCCAGCTGGTCCTGAGTTTGCTGCAGATGTGCTTGCTTCATTGAAGTTGAAGTATCTGGTTTGCTCTTAGTTCTCCAGTATTATACACAGTAATAATCAAGGGGTGGTTCTGCTGACATCAGTATGATCACACTGGAGTTAAGAGAGTGTTAAATTAGGTCCCTGGACACCAAAATCTGAAAATTGTGTTTGACTTCACTGGTGACTTATTCAATTTTTCTAACATTGTCAAGATCGTTATGCAACAAGAAATTCAAAATCACTAGTAATTGTAGCATAAAATTTTCTTTTATTCTAGACATCCTAAGCCAAATTTATCATTGTAAGTGGGGTAAAAGACTTTAGTTTCCTGTATTTGTGCAGTTGCGTTTGTCATGATATTAGACTCACTTGAGTTTCTGGTTTTAATTGACCTTAAATTTTTTCTTTGCAAACAATCAATTAGGCCATTTATGAATATGCTTTGGAACTCATAATAATTTATTACAGAAGTAAAGTCATTTCAGATACAGATGACATCTATAAAGTGAGATATAGAGAACTAACCCTTTTTCAAGAACAGCCTGCAATCCATGATCTCTTCCTTATTTTATCTAAATATCATAGCAGTAGTTGAAAAATGTGCCTCATCTCTTTTCTCTTACGGTGGCATGGAGGAGTGCAGTTAGATGCTTGAATTATAGTTCTTAAATTATAGTTCTTAAATTTTAGTTCAAGCCAGTGGTCTGTTTTCTTTGAGTTGAGTGTGTTCATTGAGGCCACTCCTGATTTTTATATTTACTTAACACAGTACTCTTTTTGCCATGTTGGAAAAAATAAATAGCTTACTATTTTCTTTCTCTTTTCAGAGCAAGATGGGATATTTAGCTCTGCTGCTCTGCACTCTTCATGCACTGGTGTTTGCTTGGAATAAGTGGGTTGATGTTAACCAATTTATCTGGTATACACCACCTTCATTTATGGTAGCAGTTTTTCTTCCTATTGTAGTTCTGCTTTGTAAATGCATACTGCTCTTCCCATGTTTTAGGAAGAGGATAAAAAGGATCAGATGTGGTTGGGAAGGTAACTCACAAACAAATCAAACCAGTATGACTTCTAGACTGTAGATGAAATATGGACATTTCCTGCCTATGTATGTAAACATGTGCAAAGTCATGAAACATTCAGTCATTATCTCCATTTTCACATTTTCTGTAGATGCTTCCTTTTCACTTTTCATTTTGACTTCATGAGTATGAGATGTATGATGCAGTTTGGACTTTTCCTAAAACAGAAGGTGGAAACATTAATTTTACACTCTACTCAGTGTTCTGGTATTTGATCATTTCTTTCTTGTGACTCAGTGCTTTTAAAACCTAAGGGCTTCATTGCCTCAGTCATAATTCTTCTGTAGGCAAAAGGAATCATAAATCGTTGCTCAAAATGACCACAGAAAGGAAAGAAATGATGACACCACAGAAGCTGGGAATGCTTTCTGCTGCCCACAATCATTTGGTTCCTTCATTAAATCTCAGGATTATACTAGGACAACAACTATTTATTATCCCATTCCCCCTCACCACCTGGATCCAATATTTTACCCTGCAGAATGGGGATGTTGGCAAATCAGCCAGACAAAATCTGTGTATTGCCATCAGGTCTTGAACTTAGACAACTGGGCAAGCAGAACTGACAGGAACTTTACAAGGTAAATCTCTTCTGAGGCCTGGGCACAATCTAAAAAAAGAGTTTTTAAACTCAGATCTCCATCTTATATGGGACTAGGCGTGTCTCTGTTTACTTAAAACTATAAAACATTTTCCATTTTTTATTCCATGAAAGTGCTCTTTTGTTTCTGATGCTGGAAATTTTCCATGCTTTTGACCTAAACTTGCAGCCCTTGACGTGTGCTTAGTTGCACAAATTATTCCAGTGGGATGAGTCATGTCAGGTAAATGTGTTCTACTGTTTACTCTAGGGCCAACGCAATTGTATGACTGGAATAAAAGCATTAAAAATAGACATTTAAATCTTGACATTGATTTGCTGAGATTTTCCTGTAAAATGGCTTCTGAATGCATTTGCTTTTACAAAAATTGTCATATGAGCTACTTAAACCTAATTTTCCTTATGTTGTTTAGGTCTGGCTGAATGTTTTAAATGACCTATTTTTAAGCATGTTATGCAGTGGTTAATATTTTCACCCACCATCAGGTACATTTCTGCTAGTCTCCTTTCATGACTTGAGTAGGACACCGACTGATGATGCCATTTATTGCTGGGATCATCTGAATGAGAACTGTAATTGGTAATGGCTCTAGTATTAAACTAAACAGGAAAACAATGTACAGTTAAAAAAATATACAATACATGGTGCTAGTGATTTTGCAGCTAATGATTCTGTTGTACATTTGTGGACTTGATACACCAAGCATAAATGACAGACAAATTAAATAGCCACAAGGATACTACATTTTGTATTTTCCTGGTTATAAATCCATTCAGTTAGTACAACTCAAAAGTAGGCCTTGTTGTTTGCACTTAATATGGTACTGTGAAAATAACTGGGAACATGGTGGCCTCTATTATGTAGACTGAAGAGAAATGAGTGGCATTGTGTATCAAGTCAGTAATGCATGACAGAGGCAAACACTCTCTAAAACACTGGAAGCTAGTCTGCAATGTGAGTCTAGGAAATTTATAACCAAACAGGAAAACTTGGTTGTCGGTGTATTAGTATTTACATTTCTATAAATGAAATAAATAAAATATTTTAGAACTCATACTAGAGATGAAGGATATTTGCCAAAGGTTTATTCAGAATATTTCCTGCACTTTGTTGTCATAAAAAGAGAATGAAATAATTTTTCTAATGGTCAAGGCAAGTACAATGATAAAAACATCCCTTTGTTTTCTGTATTGTCCACTAGCTACTCATAATGTGTGCTTAAACTTACTGCTTAGGACAAAGCTGTGACTGTAAATACTCCAAGCAGCCCCTGAATCCATCCATCGAAAAAAAGGACGTTCGGTTTTATTGCAGCTCTGTTCTAAATCCTGTTAAACTTTGCTCTCTGGAATCAGCCCTGCTGCTCCCTTAACTTAGAAAGTCTGGAAAAATTAATTCAAATGCCAGCTGTGTTGAATTCTATTCAGTTTGTTGGACTAATTGTTTACAGCTAGTCATGGAAGCCAACCCTTTGACACAGAGGAATATAAACAGCTTGAGAGGTAACAAAGAACGTGGCACAGAGAGCAAAACCTGACCTTTGGTAACTGCAAACTGAGAAGAGGTGTATAAAGACATTCCTTGGAAGAAACCATTTAAAGCTATTCATATGGCACGTATAAAAAAAAAAATCCAGGCAAATTAATATGTGTATGCATTTAGAGAGCAAAATAATTCAGGGAAACAATAATGGACTTCAAGATGTTTCACCTTATTGTCACCATTACCAAAGGGAAGTCTTTCAGCAGGGACTCTGTTATGGATGAGCGAGGTCAGTGAGCATTGGGTAGAGCAGTATGGTCAATATAGTTATGAAGTTAACAGAAACTGGAAGTTAACGTTCAGTGCCTTTGTACTGTGCATCTTACTGCACAGAAGTAGGATTTAGGTCACAAGTCACTTTTGAAAATGGGACTTGAATGCCAAATTTTTGTCCAAGTTCTTAAAACATTCTGAGTCTGTAAGATATTTTCTAATTTGGAGACTAACAGACATTTCCTTACTGCAGAAATCACTGTAGGTGCCACTACTAGAAAACAGACCATGAACTCCATGAACATGTAAATATACTATTTATATTCAACACCATAAAAAGTTTTTAAGCTGTCTGTTTTAATACATCTTTATCCAAGCAGCAGGAAGGAACTGTTGTCTGTAGATAGTACATTGTATTTAGTGCATAAAATCAGACCAAGGCACATCACAAGCACCAAACTCCTTTCAGGGAGTGCTAAAGAAAATGTATGTACATGTACATCTTTTATTTATCTTCTATTCATGGTGCAGCAATGACAAATTTAGATTCATCCCACTTCAAGTGCCTGATAAATCATGTCCTAATGAAGCATTCATTTGTAATACCCTGCTCTATGCACTTGTTGCACAAGGTAGTGTGAACTAGTATGACTTCATTAATTTCAGTCTGTTAACATGGGCTGAAATCCTAACATAAGTTAGAGGTGAAAACCAGTTTCAGGATCATCACATACTATTCAAATTGACCTTTCACACTCATCATTCAGCCCAGGACATTAAGAACACTTCTGATTTTTTCTCTTGCTCAGGAGCAAACACAAAAGTGTCTTCTACCAGCTGAAATTTGCATATGATCTACAAAAGCTGTTTCTAAAATCACACGTGACATCCATTCAAGCAGGTTTTCCCCCAGATTGTCTCAAGCATGAGCCAGATTTTCTGTGTCTCAGCCAGCCATTTCTCCAGAAACCGCTGTTGAATCCTTACAGGCAGAATATGAGACCTCGTACCAAGTCTCTTCCATGCTTTGTAAGTCTTTAGTAGAAACTCGCTCCCCAGTCTCCAGAACTGGACCAGTAACACTTTAGAGGACATTGCAACAGTATTTTCAAGCTTTTAAGGCATTCTGATACACTAGTGAGTGAGGAGGGTCATGTAAGAGCTATAAAGGGCTACAGAAGAAAATGCTGTTGACAGCATTCTATTTCTCCCACTATAAAAGACATGATTTAGTTCAACACTCATTAAAATAATTGCATTTGTACCTTTTGATTTATGTTTATGTACCTATTTAAAAATTTGCTGTATTAATATGTCCATATTCAACTACACTATATAAAATCAGTGTGTGTGCAATTTTAGGGGCTTATTTGTATAACACTGGTTATTTTTATAGAACCGTGTATCATTAAAAGCTTCAATGTATGCTGTAGCTGACATTGTGTCATACACATCCAGGGTATAAGGGTAAAATGGTAAACTCTAGAAGAGCTGTTGCCATGAGCAATAACAATGGCTTTAGTCAAGGGGAACCATTCTCCCCATGCTGGTGCAGCGCCTGGAGTCTCCAAAGGAGAGAAGACAAAAATATAGGAAGCAAAATGGGCACTTTCATAGTGGGACATAATGAAAGCACATTTTTCCTGACAGTTTTTTTAACTGACAGACTGCATACTGTAGCATTCAGAGATTTTGTGAGGAGGAATAGAAAGCTGAACAAGTTGTGGAGTGCTTTGGAGGGAAACCTATGATCCCTCAAAACACCAAAGACCAGGGAAAGCTCAAGAACAGTGAGGGCATTGTGGAGAGGGAAGGAATACAGGCCTATTCTGGGGTAAAAATCTGTAAGTCTAGCATAGGTGGTTTTGCAATGCCTCTACAAAGGCTGCAAAGTACTCCCTTCATGTATGTCCCCAATGTATTTAAGTCAGAGACAGAATTGAAACTGGAGAGATACTCACAAATTGTTGAAAGGACTTGAGGGATTTTATGCCAAGTTTAGCTGGGGTAGGCAGATCCCAGAATACTATTCCCAAGAAGTGGCACCAGCAATCAGTGCCCCAGAAGTTAGAGCAAGGGCTGTGCTAGCTGTGGTTTAATGATGGAAATTCCTGTTGAGAGAAGCATTCACTGTAAGCAGCCCCTCCCTTTGGCCACATTTCTCTGTTTTCTCAGTTCTGCAGGTGTTTAAAGCTGTGAAGGTAATCAGACCAGGGAACTGGATCCCTTTGAAAAGTAATACAAGAAAAAGAATGATTCAACCAGATCCATGCACTGGTCTGATTGATTACCTGACAGCCATGCATATATGACAGCAGGAAGGACAGGAAGAGAAATGGTTTGAAGGGGCAGCTTCACTTAAACCAGCTTAAACTATGCATTTGCAAGTGCATCTAAAATTAAAAACTTAAGTTTTGTCATCCTATTGCAGTAGCAAGAATGTTTCATTGCTTCACTTACTTGCCATGTTCTTAATTTTCCATGAATCACTGGGCAAAAATGTGTTCTAGAAATTATCACTGGGGAAAAAAAAAATTAAAACAAAACAAAAAGACAGCTATTTGAAAACATCCTGAAGCCACCCCTAGAGAATGTAGTTGCTGTGTCTAGCAATGACTGATCATTGTCACAGATTTTTTTTCAGTAGTGCCAGGATTTTTAGATCCCATCAGCATGCTCTGTTGCTGGTGGCAAAACAATTTATTTTGGTGGGACTTTTAGGCTCATTAAAAAAAATCTCACTGAATTCAGTTGCATCAGGGTTCAGCTTTTGCATCATTTGAACTTTTCTGTAGATTGAATGTAAAATTTGAATGGATATGGTGAGGCTAATTTATTAAGTATGCATAGCAAGTTTTTATAGATTTTCCAGTGAAAATATATAAAACCAGTCAGCGAACCACACTTTATTATAAATTTATAAAAAAAAAAGACCACAACTACTTCCAATAAAGATGATGTAACAGAAGATACAGTTTCACCTTTTTTGTT